TCAACAAAATATCATCAACATAGATAAGAACAACAGTGAAAGAAGTACCTATACTCTTAGTAAATAAAGAGTAATATGTTTTGGACTAAGTGTAGCCTGCATTTTGTATAGTGGTAGAGAATATGAAGAACTAATTGCGAGAAGCCTGTTTTAACTCATAAAGAGATTTATGTAGCCGACATACTGTATTCTCCCTGTATTGGCGAAGATCTGGTGGTAAAGACATGTAAACTTTCTCGTCTAGATTACTATGGAGAAATGCATTTTGAACATCCAACGGATGAGTGAACCATTTTTTAGCAGCAACAATAGTGAGTAAGCAACAAAGTATAGTAAGTTTCGTTGTAGGAGAAAATGTCTTTTTATAATCATTACCTTCAACCTGAGTGTATCCCTTTGCTACCAATCGAGCTTTATAACGTTCAACAGAACTATCAGAGTTGTATTTAATCTTGTACACCCTACGACAACCAATAACTTTATGGCCAGGTAGTAGAGAAACGAGAGACCAAGTATGATTACGTTCCAAAGCGAAAAGCAACCAATCAACGGCTTCTCTATCTCCTCTCTCACCAAGAAGCCATTGCTGTTGTCGTTCATCTCTCCACTACACGTGACGTTTGGCTCACGGTGGAAACTACATTCAACCATCATTCGAAAGCTCATGAACTAAAACTCAAGGATGACTTGAATCTGATGAAACGTGGCACAAAACTTGTTGAGTATGCCCATACCTTCAAAATAATCTGTGACCAACTTCATGTCATTGGCAGACCCGTCGAGGACATTGGTAAAGTGTACTGGTTCCTTGGTGGACTTGACACTGATTTTTTAACTTTTTCTACTGCTCAAAATGGCTCTCACCCCCCTCTCCCCTGTTTTGTAGATAGTCTATAAAGCTGAAAGTTTTGAGCTGTTTCAGCGCTCCCTTGAGTCTTTTGACTCTACTCCTACAATATTTGCAGCTCTAATCGTGGTCGCACTCATGGAAGTCACCCTGCTTCCTTTAGCAACCAATGAGGTCGTGCTCATTTCCACAAAAACAATTCTTCCAATCGAGGATGAACTCACTTGGGTTAGGGTCGTCGACCACCTTGTTGCCAAATATGCCGCACGGAGGGTCATTATGCTGAGCACTGCAACCAACGGTACGTTCAACCTGATTCTACTCATGCTCACCTTGCTGAAGCATTCAATACGTCATGTTCTATTGCTGGACCCGAGGCTATTGATTGGTTTTTTGACACTGGGGTTCGACCCATATGACCGCTGATTCATCTATTTTGGATCAATCTAAAAATTACATGGGTAAGGACTTTGTGATCGTAGGAAACGGTGCATCCCCTACCCATTACCCACATTAGTACTCTTCTTCCTGTTCCAAATATTCATTTATTAGATGTCTTGGTTGTTTCTCATCTCACTAAAAATTTTCTTTCAATTAGTAAATTAACATATGATTTTCCTCTATCTATTACATTTACTAATAATCTTCTTTCTATCCAGAATCAAACATGAAGGGTGGTGCCAACCGATAAAAGGGATGGAGGACTATATGTGCTGGAGCGTGACAACTCTGCCTTTATTTCTGTTCTTAGAAACAAATCTTTACATGCTCCATATGATTTATGGCATGCTCGCCTAGGTCATGTGAATTATTCTATTACTTCTTTTCTAAATAAAAATAGATCATCTTTCTCTTACATCTTTATTGTTTTCTCCATCACTATGTAGTACTTATCAAGCTTGTGAAAAGTCATTAATTGCCTTATTCCTGCAATGAACGTAAGTTGTATCATGTGTTATATCTTATTCATTGTGATCTCTTCCCCTGTCAAATCCAATTCGGGTTTTCTTTACTATGTTATTTTTATTGATGATTATTCTCGATTCACTTGGCTTTACCCTTTAAAATTTAAATATAATTTCTTTGATATTTTTCTTCAATTTCAAAAATTTGTGGAAAATCAATATTCTGCTTGTATCAAAGTTTTTTAAAGCAATGGAGGTGTCGAATTTACTAGCACTTGTTTCACAACTCACTTGTGTACTTCTGGCATCCACCATCAACCCTCTTGTCCATATACACCTGCTCAAAATGGTCATACTGAGAAAAAACATCGTTATGTGACTGTGACTGGCTTGACCCTTCTCTTTCACTCCCATCTTTCTCCTCGTTTCTAGGTTGATGCCTTCAACACTGCAGTTTATATTATCAACCGGTTGCCTACTCCACTTCTTGTAAGTAAGTCACCTTTTGAACTCCTCTATGGCTACTCTCCGCATTATAACAATTTTCATCCCTTTGGTTGTCGTTTTTATCCTTGCTTGCATGATTATATGCCTAACAAGCTTTCTCCCCGCAGTATTCCTAACATTTTTTTGGGTTATAGTCCCACTCATAAAGGGTTTCATTGTCTTGATCCCACCACCACTAAGCTATACATCACCTGTCACGCTCAATTTTATGAAACTCACTTTCCTGCTGTCCCTATCTCCCAGGCCCAACCTCTTTCCTATTCATATTTCAAATTTCTTGGAACAACATCTTTACCATATTGATTCATCCCCCCTGTACCACTACTTGACCGCACATTTCTTGATCTAGTTCATCCCCGTGTGATATTTGTTTGATTTTGTGGATGAGTCTGTGTAGGTTGATACTTTTCTTGCAGGTTCCTCTTTGCCACCCTTGACTTCTGATCCAGCCTCTATTGAACCTACGGTTGCTGTTGATTCCTCTTCTTCTTTCATCTCTTATCCTTGATCACACGAGCCAAAGTTGGTAAATTCAAGACTCGTCATCCAACAAATCTTGGTTCTTTGGGCTCATCTGACCTTTGTTTTGCTCTTCTTACATCCACTAAGCCAAATAGATTCAAATATGCGGCTAAGAATCATGCTTGGGTTGCTGTCATGGATGAAGAAATTCAAGCTTTATAACAAAATGACACTTGAACTTTGGTTCCTCGCCTTGCCAACACCAACATCGTGGGTTATAAATGGGTGTTTTGCATTAAATATTTACCTGATGGATCCATTGAGCATTTCAAAGCTCGTCTTGTTATCAAAGGTTATACTCAAGTTCCTGATCTCGACTACACTAACACTTTCAGTTTGGTTGTCAAAGCTACCACTGTCTGTGTTGTACTTTCTATTGCAGTCACAAATAAATGACCTCTTTAACAACTTGATGTCAAGAATGTTTTCCTCAATGACACTCTTATTGAACATGTTCATATGGAACAACCTCCTGGGTATATTGATCATCGATTTCCCACTCATGTCTATCTATTAAAGAGAGCCCTCTATGGCTTAAAGCAAGCTCCTCATACCTCGTTTCAATGTTTCAACTCATTTCTTCACACTTGGTTTTTCTTACCATCACGCTGACACGTCCCTTTTTGTCTTTCATAGCAATCTAACCTTATCTATCTGCTTCTTTATGCTGATGAAATTATTGTTACCACCAGCAACTCATCTCTTATTGACAGCTTTACTCGTAAACTTTATTTTGAGTTTGCTACCAAGGATTTGGGTTCTCTCAGTTACTTTCTTGGTCTTGAAGTTTCACCCGCTCCTAATGGTCTCTTTATTAGTCAGTTAAAATATGTTTGAGATATTCTTACTCGTGCCCAGTTGCTCAATAGCAAACCAATCCACACCCCATGGTTGTTTCTCAACACCTGACTGCTAATGATTCTCCTTTCTCTAATCCTACTCTCTATCGATCTCTTGGTGATGTCCTTCAGTACCTGACCATTACGTGTCCAGATATTGCCCATGCTATCAATTCTGTCATTCAATTTTTGCATACCCCTACAGATCACTTTCTTGCTATAAAACATATTCTTCGCTATGTCAAGGGAACACTCTACTTTGGTCTTACCTTTCGTGTATCCACTGTTCCTAGTGCGCTAGTGGCTTATTCGAATGCTAACTGGGGCTGCCTGTCTCGATACTCGTCGTTCTACATCTAGCTATTCTATTTATCTTTGTAACAATCTCGTCTCTTGGAGTGCCAAAAAGCAACCTACTGTCTCACACTCCAGCTGTGAATCTGAGTATCGTGCTCTTGCTACGACTGCTGCTGAACTTCTTATGTGACAACAAAAGAGCTTTTTTTTAGCTCTAATCCTGTTTCTCACAAGCGGGCCAAACATGTTGAACTAGATTATCATTTCCTTCGGTAACTTGTTATTACTGGCAAACTTCACACATAGTATGTACCTTCCCATCTCCAAGTTGCTGACATGTTTACAAAAAGTGTTTCTCGACCTTTCTTTGAATTTTTTAGATTCAAGCTTCACAATCGTTCAAATGTGACATTCAGCTTGCGCGCAGGTGGGGTTTGAGCCTTGAATTATGGTTTACCATATGTATCATATTTGACCGTTTATTATAGACAAATATCTAGATATTTTCCTTTCATTACTACTTAGCATAAGTATCATATTTGTCCTTTTATTATAGGTTAATATCTTGTATCTATTTATTATTCTTTCCGTATCATCTGTAATTTATCATAATTCTCTTTTCTCTAAATAATTATAAATAGGGAACTTTCACCTGTGTTTCAGCAATGATGATGACAAAGGTGAAAATAAAATTTATTTAATATTTTAAAATTTGATTTTATGTATATTTTGTTCTTTAAAATATTAAAATTTAGGTTAAACTACAAAAAATACTTCAAATTTATATTATGTTAATATCAGGAGGCCTACAATTTTATGAATCCACATATAAAATAAATCTTACAAGTGTAGGTACTTCCACTCGTTATGAATTAATTTATAAAAAAAAAAAAATAATAATAAATGACAAAATTAAGAATATAATTACAAATTTATTAGGAATATTTTGTTTCATGTTTGAATATTCTAATTAGATGTCTTCGTGTTATTCTTCGTGTTATTCTCCTTGTCATTATTATGTCATAATAAAATTGAAATATTAAATCTGAAAATTTAAAACTGGAGACAAATAATGAACAATAAAATACAATCACAAAATTATTCATACCGTGTTTGCCCAGGATGTATTACTTTTTCACGGTTTCGCAGATCCGGTGCCTGCACGGAAGTCCGAGCCTCTTTGTTTACTGATCCGGCAGTGGCAGAGAAGCCTTCTTCGCATCTGCGGATGTAATTCAATCGATTCTATGAGCGATTCTGCTTCTACACAATAGTGGCCCTTCGTCGAACGCGGAATTCTAGTATCCTTCGTCTTTGTCGTCATAATCGTTTTGTAATTTCCAGGTACACTCACGTGGAACGAGATTAATCTTGTTTGGCCTTTGTTGGAACACTGTTTTTGATTTTTTTAAAAAGTAAAATCTTGCATTCTGGCTTTTGGAATTGTTCTTTGTAAACTGGAAATTGAGTTAGGGTTTGTGGTGTTTGTTTAAACCTTTTCTGTTGGAAATTCTGGGCACTTTGGGTAGTTCGGCATTGAAATAGGTATGAAGGGGCAGTCTAACCGCCTCCAGAATATGGACCCTCCTGATGATTGGGTTAATGGTTCGTGGACTGTGGATTGCATCTGTGGCGTCAATTTTGATGATGGGGAAGAAATGGTTAATTGCGATGAATGTGGCGTTTGGGTGCACACAAGGTGTTCGCGTTACGTGAAGGGAGATGATATTTTTGTTTGCGACAAATGTAAGAGGAAGAACGAGAGGAATGACTGTGAGGAGACCGAGGTTGCGCAGTTATTGGTTGAACTTCCAACCAAAACCATGAGCATGGAGAGTACATATGTCTGTAATGGCCCATCCCAGCGTCCGTTCAGGCTTTGGACAGACATACCGATTGAGGAAAGAGTTCATGTTCATGGCGTTCCAGGTGGTGACCCTGCTTTATTCAGCGGGTTGTCATCGTTATTTACTCCACAGCTGTGGAACTGCACTGGGTATGTTCCAAAAAAATTTAATTTTCAGTACCGGGAGTTCCCCTGTTGGGATGAGGACCAGAGCGACAATACAGATAATGGGAAAAATGAGAATCCTGCTGACAAAGGTGCTGGTGTTCTTTTCTCTTTGTCTAAGGACAATGTATTGGCTACCCCTGTGGCAGCTTTGATTGATGTGAGAAGCAAATCTAGGGATGTTTTACGTGACAGGAATGGGCTTTTGAGTGAAAAACATGGTGTAAGTGAAGATTTGGATAGGCGTCCTGACAATGGTGTGAGGGAGAGAAGCTTTCTTCGACCTCTGCTACATTCTGGTAAGTGCAAAAAGGAAGACTACTTGGTATCAAAAGATCAATCTGGGAAGATGAAGTCTACGCCCTCTGATAAGGTGACAAACATGAAAAAGAGAATTGATCATGCTTCTAAGATCGGTAATTCATCTTCATACTTACTGAATTGATATCTTAAATTATTATGTGGGAAGTGTGTGCAGTTTTCACATTAGGGACAATTTTTTTTTTTTTTTTTTCTCACTCTCTTTTATTATAACCGGTGTTTACATCGATGAATGATGAAAAACAATTGGCAGACAGAGATCAGAAGCATGCGAGGGGCAATAGTGAAAATCCTAGGAACAAGAGTTCAAGGGAAATGGTGGATCGAGAATTATCAAATGCATATCATGTAGCAAAGAAAAATAATGATAACCATAGAGACAGTTGTGAGCTCTCTCCTGGTGTCGTATCTTCTGAGATATCTAAAAACAACAGCGCCATTGCAGTTGGACCGAAGGACGAAAATGGAGCCCAAGTTTCTCTGGCGGTTGAGAATTCCACTAAAATTGAGGATGATGGACCGCCCCTCTTTGCAAAGAAAGATGTTGGAAACATTGTCGTGAAACAGGTACGTCGGTCTTTTCTATAAGTACTTATATTGCATTTCCTGGTTTTATTTTGGAAGCATAGCATTAGTGGCATATGTCTTCTTCCACATGAGGCACAAACTTCAAATTAAATCTTCTTTTGCTTATAAGTAATTTTTTACCAAAAGGATGGTTGGAAATTTGCTGTAAGCATCTCATGCGACTCTTTTAAACAAAAGATACTCTAGTGTGATTCTCTCGGAAGGAGCTCAAATGTTGTTAAAAATTGAATAAAATTCAATGATGAGTTCTACTGGTGGATTCAATATCGATAAGACTTTTTTTAGAAAAATTTAATTCAACTAATTTATTATTATTATTTTTAATAAGAAACTAGAGACTTTCATTCAAGGAGGCAAAAGAGCCAAGACAAAATAATCTAAGGGACAAAGGGATGGGACATCTTCTCTCCCAAAGGAGAGAGAAGATGCCATATATGAGAGTACTCTCAAGATTCTATCCTTCCAAAGAAGCCACAAAATAACCCTAATAAGATTCCTGCAAAGCACTTTAGCCTTTCCCTTCCAAAACCATCCCGACAAAGCTTCACCAAACCACACCTCCAAACACTGAGACACCCTGCAACAAAAAAAAAAAAAAATCTTGCCAAAGAAATTATTGACTGAATTATCGTCTTCTAAAGTTTTTAGGTTGGTTGGTGATTAAACATGGTATCTGAGTAGGAGATGTTGAGTTCAAACCGTGATGTCATTTCCTCCTCAATTAATGTTGATTTTCACTTGTTGAGCCTCTGAAATTTTTTTCAAGCTCATAAGTGAAAGAGAGAGTTTAAATGTTGATAAATTAAATTTACTATACCCATCAAGTTAAGTTTTTGGATTGATTGGGGATTTAACACCTTTGATATTCTTCCGCCACCATAAGTTGATCAAAGATAAACTTCCAAGTTTTGTTGGTATGTTTGAACAATAATGTGCTTACCCAACATATAAGGCCTCCATGATAGTGGTCATAAGCTCCCTTTCATAGGCTATTTTATTCCGATGCAAAGGTGGAAGAGCATAGCTAAAAAATGCTTTAGGTCGTGACTCTTGTATCAAAATGACTCCCACCCTAAACTCTATACATCAGCTTCCACAACAATCTCCTTTTAGAAATCAGGCACCTGAAGCACATGAATGGAAACCATTACCTTTTTCAAATAAAGAAAGCCTTTCTGCTTCTTCTTTCCAGGCAAACCGATCCTTCTTCAATGGTTGCGTCAGGGGAAAGCAATGGTACCATAGTTCTCCACGAACTAGCGGCAATAGCCTATCAATCCCAAGAAGCCCCTTAATGCTTTCAAATTCTGAGGCAAAGGTAATTTTTCCATAGCAGACACCTTGGATGGATCAACAGGAACCCCTGAGCCAAGACAATATGCCCCAAATATTTGATTTGTTGCAATGCTGATTGACACTTCTTTTGATTAGCAATCAACTGACGCTCTTGAAGTACGGGTAAAACTTTTGTCAAGTGTTGCACACCGTTAACCGAAGAATTGTGCACCAAAATTTCATAAAAAAACACCGTACAGTACAATTTTTTTTTTTAAATAGGGACATAAGACCAATTTCATCCATGCTTGAAAGGTTGTTAGTGCATTTGTCAACCCAAAAGGCATCACTAAGAAGTCTTAATGACCCTCCTAAGTTCGAAAAGCTGACTTCAAGAAAATTTCTGCTATCAACCCAACTTCAGATCAATCTTCAATTATGTACATGAAGTTCTTCTAGCAAATCATCAATCATGGGAATGAGAAATTTGTTCAGTAATGTGACTTTATTCCAAGCTCTATAATCCACTTCCGACTTCCATCTTTTTTTTGTGAACTAATAAAATTGGGCTAGAAACTGTACTATTACTCAGTTGAATTATCCCAGCGACCTACATTTCCTCAACTAACCTTTCAATCATCTTTTTGGAATTGGGTTATCTATGGGGATGAGCATTGCCTAGAGCAGTTGAACCCGACAACAATCCAATTCCATGATCCTTTTTCTCTCACGAGCGGTTGTCTTGGGAATGGCTGAAATACTGAAGCATAAGCTTGAAGCACTGACCGTAGGTACACGTGACCATGGTTCTTCAACACCCGACTTCCATAACACATTTAGTTGTACAAGAAACCCTTGTTTTTCTAACTTTGACGATTTCATCAAGAATTTTAATGTTACCTGCAAATGCACCAACGTGGGATCCCCTTTTTAGAAGGATATTATTTGTAAGATTTACCTAGCATGAATATTTTTTTCTTCAGATTTTAATGATTCGTTGTGATATCCCCCAACGTTGCAAGCCACTGTACACTGAAAACTAAATTGGCACTTCCCAAAAAAATTGGCAAAAGTTCCTACGCTGTGTAGTTGTTTCTCCCATTGTCAACACCACTTGCTTACAGATCTTATTTCCACGTACGGAAGCCTCAGTTCCTAGAATCACACTGTATCCCTCTGTTTCACCCCAAGGTTGTGGAATAAAATTTTGTTTCTCCACCATCGAATGCAAAGCCGATTTTGCTACCTTATCCTTTTCTTCATCTTCAATTTCTTTATCAGTCATCCCCAAATTTTGCATAGCCACTTCCTTGACACCCTCTTCCTCAAAATCGTGGATCACCGTCACCTGTATTTTTTTTTTTCTTGCAGCGATGCTCAGGTGTTAGTGTTCTTCCTAATGAAATCATAGCCCTTCCACTCGACGGCTTTGACGCTTGGATTCTGTTAAGCTTGAACGGTGGTGTTTCTGATCTTCCTATCCCTCCCTATTTAAATCTGACACCCAGATAGATTTGGTTAATGGAAATTGTACATCATGGAAACAGCCCCATACTTAATGGACTTTACACCAACATCGTGGCTTGGGCTTCCATACTTTGGATTCAAGGCAACTTTCTTCTGAATGCTGTAGCTTTTCTTCAATTTTATGGACCATCTACATTTGTAACATCAACCCAATAGGTGGCCCAATCCGTATCTCCATTTTGATATCCTCATGCAAGCGGTTGATGAATTTACCCTCTAGAATATCTCATCCAACAAGGTCAACACATGCTGAATACTTCAAGAATGTGTTGGGGAGGTGGTGGGGGGGTGGGGATCGTGTTCTTTCTGTGTTTCTTTTCAATCTTTGGCAACTCTTAATCTCACTTATTCAACTGCAGGGAGGTGGTACAGCTCTTGACCATTCGGATGATGGAGGATTTTCTAGGACCATTGTCAAGCCTTCTGTTGGAAGCTTAGCTAGCACTAAACTTGAAAGCAAGGATGATAAGATTCATGATGATGTTAATTGCGTCAATTCAATTGATTCATCCCATACAGATGCCAAATTTAAAATAGATAAGCAACTTGATGTATCTGGAGGAGCCTTAAACTTCCAGGCTTCGGCACATTCGGATGCTACAGAGATGCAGAAATGTAATGATCGTATGCCTGAAAGTAATAAGGTGAATTCTGGTGGTGTATCGTGCGGTTTGCAAGTGGGTAGCCATAAGGCAGAAAAAAGTTCTGAAGGTGCTAGCAATTATCATCTTGAAAAGGCTGATGAACAACGTAGTAATCCATGTGTATTTAAACAGGAGTGGGATTGTCCAGAAGGCAGCACAACAGTACATATTAATTATTTGAAACCTCAAAATGTCTCTGAATTTGGTGATGAAAAGCCATCAAAATCTAGTGGAATGGCTTTACACCACCATGTATTACCTAGTCAACACAAAACGACACTATGTGTTGGAAAATCTTCCCCTGCATCGTCAAATGTTATAATTTCTAAACCATCCATGTCCAATGATCTAACACATGAAGATCCTGAAAACCTAGAAGGTACTGCTGCCAAACATGAGGCAGTGCCCGGAAGTTGTGGTGGTAGTAGGAAAGAATATTCTTCAAATGGCGTTGACAGAGTTGAAGAAAGGGAAAAACTGCCTAGGAGAAGAATTAAAGAGCATCCAAAAGAGTGCTTAAATGCCGCTGCCAATTCATTATACTCAGTTAGGGACTTGCAAGATCCTATTTCAAAAAGAAACACATTGCACGTAAAAGATTCTGTTGTGCTCTCAACGGTTAAGACACCCTTGGCACATAATGCACCAGATAGTCCAGGGTACAGTGAGGCCATTGAGTCGCATCTCAATCATAAGGGTTTAACTTCACACAACAAGGTTTCAAGCTCATGTTTACCACAAAGAGGTGACAAGCCTAACCATCCTCCATCTAAGGTCAATCAGCGTCATGCAACAGCGATGTGTCCTCCAGCAACTACAAATCCACCTGCTGTGCTGAGTGATGAAGAGGTTTTTAAAAATTTTCATTTTCTTCTCGTGAATTGTGTTAATAGGCTTTCGATATAACTTTTTGCATATATAACTTTTGTGGCTTTTGGCAGCTTGCCTTTCTTTTGCATCAGGAGCTCAATAGCTCACCTAGAGTACCTCGTGTGCCACGTTTGCGTCAGACAGGCAGCTCACCACAGTTGGGTTCTTCAAATGCAACAAGCTTGCTAATAAAACGCAGTTCTTCTAGGGGAAGAGATTATGCATCGGTAAAATATATGTCAATATCTCACTCCTTTTAGCTCTATTTTTAGATATGCAGATGTGTTGGTTCTAAGAGTTTTCTGTAAAATATTTGTGGTTGTATTTTGTAGGCTTCTAGAATGAAAAACAGAGATGCCTTGAGAGACACATTTCGGAGTTCCCGTGAGCCTGATGATGATGTTAAAAGAACTGATGAAATTCTGTCTTCCCCTGATCAAAGAAGGCAAGAGACAAGTAATCCTGCAGAAGCATCTAAGAAGGAAGAGAGTGGATCTCCTACAAGATTGAATGCACATAAAAGAGGTCTTCTTTCAACTTATGCTACAAATACTGCAAGTAATTCCGCAGAAGCATCTAAGAGGGATGAAAATGGATCTCCTTCAAGATTGAATGCTCTTAAAAAAGGTCTTCTTTCAGCCTATGCTACAAATACTGCAAGTAGTGGCCCATCTTCATCAATGGAAGCAAATGATCATAATAATTCATCCATACATCATTCACCAAGGAACACATCTGATGATGACACAGGCACGGTTGGAGAAGGCCCTGTTCATCCAACTTTACCTGGTACGTGTCAACTGAACTTTAAGTATGAAAATTTTCTTATAAAATTAACTAATTTTAAAATTCTGAACATCTTTGCCTTGTGTTCTCATCTTATTTCTATGTAGGCTTAATCAATGAAATTATGAGCCAAGGAAGGCGTATGACCTATGAAGAACTATGTAATGCTGTTTTGCCGGTACGGTTTCTTCTGATGTGCAGATTTTTTTTTTTAATATTTATATGTATGCGTCTCGATTCACTTTTTGTTTGGTGTATTATAGAGTATTCATTTTTCCTTTTTCGGTGCAATTGCTTTCTTTGCAGCACTGGCATAACCTGAGGAAGCACAACGGAGAGCGTTATGCTTATTCGAGTCATTCACAAGCTGTTCTTGATTGTTTGAGGAACCGACATGAGTGGGCTAGACTGGTTGACCGTGGTCCAAAGGTATGCCTGTGATTTGTATTTGAGACATTGCTATGTGTCTGCAACAGTGTTTCAATAAGAAAAGTTTATAATCCTCTAGTTTTATAAATGGGAATAGAATGGTATGATGCTACATGTCTCAACTTCAAGAACCTTTGCAGAAATGCTGAGCTTACATATTTTTTTAAAACAAAAACAACTCTTCATAATTTACATTGATTAAATTAAATGATTACAAAGATTCACTTTAGGCTTACCACCCTCAAATACTAACCATGGCATAGAAAAAAATTCATTTGCTGAAAAAGTAACGAAATTAGCAAAAACTACCCAAACTTTTAATTATATTATTTTCTAAGAAACTGAACTTGCGAGAGAGTTGATTACATCGAGTGAGTAATTCCTTCTTTTTTCCTAATAAACTGAACATATATTGATGAAAGAAGCCCTTACAAAAAGGATAATGAGATATTCCCACAGAATCAAAGGGTTACAGAAAATGATTCCATATTCCTTAAGATGTGCACAAGATCATAATCACAATATCTCTAAATAGGGTGCACCCCGTGGAAGAAAACATTTTTACAAGGTCCCAAAAATCCTCCAGAATAATCTCTGCCCCTTTAAGAACTGTTTGGTTTCTCTCGAACCATAGTCACAAAAGATTATCGCACATTGGACCAAAAAAACAAGCACTTGGCCCTCGAAAGGGAACCATCCAACAACTGAGAAAGAACGACTTCACATACTTTTGAGAAGCACCTGTTTGAGGCATAGAAATGAAGGAGCTTAGACAGACTGACTAGTAACTGTGGTAGGGCAATGGAAAAAAGGTTCTGATTGCTCTCCAAATTACTTTTATTTGTGTTTTTGAGGTACATGAGGGCAATGGAAGGGGTATGATCATCTCTCCCATATGCATCCTAGACAAGGCACCTTCATTAATGTCCTCACCATTTGCGCATTTATGTTGCTGTGAATGTGTGATTGTGGTGACATACGCAGTTGAAGAAGAAGAAAAAGAAGAAAAGGAGAGAAAGAGTCGGAAGAGGAGAATAAAGGAAGAAAAGAAAAAAGGTTCTTACATTTTCTAGGACCAAATGAGCGCTAGCTGCACTTCACATTCCTCCCCCTATTTTACCCCTTTTTTTTTAAAAAAAAAAAAACTCTTAGTTTTCAAAATTACTTGAGTTAATTTTTATTTAAATACTAAATTGTTTGGTTTAATGTTTCGTGTTTTAAAAATCGAGTATTTCTAAATCTATAATTGATATAGACATTTTATTATTATTTTATTGAGTGCGCCACTTGGAAAATACATTCTCATTGCTTCTCATCTTGAGGCAGTTTAGAGACTTGTTGCCCCTTGGGGTGCATGTTGTGCTTTGAAAACACTTTCTTCTGACTACCAGTCATAGGAAACTGCGGAAACCAGTAGAATAGGGAGCTTCTTTTCGATTGGACTACAAGAGTTCAATTTTTCTTGAATAAAGATCCAAAGGAACGCTTTCACCTTTTTAGGGACCTTGATCTGGTATCACATTTTTCATGGAATGATATCTATATACAAAGCATCTCATTGGTGTTCTGTTTCTAATTTGTTTGCTAATTATTCTTCTAGTAATATTTGTACGAATTGGGATGAGTTTATTTTCCTCACTAGGTTTTAATCTCAAGTTTACTCATGTTTTTTACCTTCACTCTTTTGGGGGATTGTTTCCTTTGAACACTTTTGTATTCATTATTTCTATGAGAAGTTTGTATCTTATTCAAAACTAAAAAAGAAAAAAAAAAAAAAAAAAAATCTTTCATTTGAGGTATGGAGTGAGAGAGCTCACTGTGAAGTAACCACTGCTATGGAGTGTTCACTGTCTAGAATCCGCTTGGAAAACTTTTTTGATTAAGCTACATTATGAAGCCTTTGGAAGGTAGATTTGAGAGGGCAACTAACGATCCTGTCATCCTCTCAGAAGATGCTTCTCTCTATTACCCATCTTGGCTTCATACCATTTCTTTATCCAAAAAGCAATATTTAGCTATTAAACCCCACGTGCTTGTGTAGCAGAAAAAGGTCCTTTGTGAAGTAATCCACTTTTTAGCTTCTTCCTTCTGAGTTCACAATTTCCATAGCAAGGCTTTTCTTCTTTTTAGCATTATTCAAGTTAGTGGAAGAAGCAGGAGTTCTTGTCATCCTCATTGGAGCATTTTGACTTGGTTTCCATTTCCTCTCTTCTTTCAAAATCACGACAGCCATTTGGACTTTAGGATCCTTCTTTCAACTTCCGTTAATGAGTTCCATAGCCCACTCTTTTTCGTCGAGCCCCTTGGCCTTCTCTCTGAGCCATTTGGACTTACATTTTTGTTTCCACCATCTCTCTTTTTTCAGCTTCGCATCAATGATCTATAATTTGGGTCCTCCTTAACCTCCTCTAAAGAGAGCCCTTCCCACTCTTTTTCATCGAGTTGTGCGATAGTGTTCGAGAAAACTCTTCTCTAATCTATGAGACCAAAAACATTCTCGTTCCATTGCTTGAGCTTGATCTTCTATAATTTCAACTTTTGAATCAATACGGACCTTGCCCATTCCGTAGGATTGGCTTGGATTGTGAGAGTAATTAGAAAAAGGACTAGAAACTTGAAAGAAAACACCAAAAAACAAGCATATTTCTTTAGGAAATCCCATCTTTCATATCATTTTGAGGTCTTTCCTCTATGGATTCTTTGGTCACTCTCCATTCAAAATTCTCCAACAGCTTTAAGCATTCATTCTCTATCATTTAACTTTACCCTTCAACTGTACGCCAAATAGAAGTTTTGGTCACTTTCCATCCTAAATACTCCAACAGCTTTAAGCATTGATTCTCTGTCATTTAACATAACCCTTCAACTGTACGCCAAATAGAAGTTGAAAGATATTTCCTTTGACCTTTATCTAAAAGCCAGGCCAATTCAACGATCTTGAAAAGAAACTCCTGGTACTAACCCAGAAATGGACGATTCATCACCAATGCTAGATATTGTACTTTTAGTCTTTCCAATGTGTTTAATATTCCAAGATGGGCAAGCCAAATGCAATACTCGCTTTTCTTGAGCATTTTGTTTAACCAAGTGTCAAATTGTTAACTTTTTTTTTTTTTTCTTTTTTGGCAACCACCCATTCAAAGACAGAATGAAGCCCCTTTGGTTGAGCATCAGAAGAATCTTTCCTTTTGTGAAATTGGAACCAAAGAAATAACATTATCTTTTTGTACTATAGAAGTTCCTCTCTCTGTAGCTACTCACGAGAAAGAGTGGAACTTCTAGAGTAGCTGCCCACGATGCTACCTTCTCTTCTTTTTCGTGATTTATTCTCAGCAGTCTTTGCTCTAGTTGCTATTCTCTTTCTGTGATTGCTTATAGGCTAGGATTTTCCTTCCCCTCCCCCATATAAAGAAAAAATGAAGTCTGTATGTTAGTATAAAAGTTGAGTCTAATTAACAGTGCGTGGGTGGTATGTTGCTCGTGAGATTAGCATACTCGTGGTTTGAAACAACAAACCTATTTACCAAATGTAGCCTCAACTTTGTAACTCCAACGTACTAAAACGCTTCAAGTCTGTTCTTGTTCATTTTTTCTCCATTCTACTTTCACATTGAAGGTAGATCAATTGTGATTAGGTGGTTCACGGAGATCCAAAGGAATAACTTTCTGAATATCTACGAGACCTCAAATAAATTTGTAAGTGCTAACCTTGTATTGAAATTAAGTTGACACGGTTCACATGAAAATCAGCTTGCTTTGGGAATTTATATTGGCTGGCTTGTATGGGTGTTGAATTAGGTTCTGATATGTAGATCAAGGAAGTCTTATAATCTTATATTTGAAAAATCGTTTAGGTGCTGCTTTTTAGTTGCCATTCAAAACAGAAAGCTTTATTCAGTTAACTACTCCAAATGTTATCTAATTCTGAGACATTTTTGAATGCCAGACAAATTCAAGTAGGAAAAGGCGGAAATTCGATGTTGAAGAATCTGAGGATAGCGAATACGGTAAAGGGAGACCTGTAAAGGTTGTAGAAAACAAAGGCCTCGAGTCTCATAAAGAAGAGTTTCCAAAACGCAAGAGGAACACTCGAAAACGAAGATTAGCTCTTCAAGGGAAAGGTATAAAGGATATTAGGAAAAGACGCAAGACAGAGATATTTACTGATGATGATGTCGGGCTGCTTTCCGATTCAAGTGATGGAAGCATGTTCAGTGAGGACGAGCTGCAGGATGTTGATGAATGTTCAGAAAGAAGAGAAGGTTCAGGTTCAGATGAGTAGTTTGCACGGTATTCTGCTATCCAGATTGGGGATGTAATTTATTGTATCCAAGTTAGAACATGCCAAATTCAAGGAAGTAGGGTGCAGCCTTTGTCACATAGCTTCTGTAGTGTATAACTTTTATCAGAGCTAGGTACATCTTAGATTAGATTTGTGAATGTTGTAACTTGTGCATATATGTATTGAGTTCTAACATTGTACGTGTATTAAATTTATTGAAGTATCAGCCTATTCCTCTTCCAAATTTGGTCATCAAATAATAGGTTACATCTAAGTTTGAGTTTTATTTTCAATTTATCCTTTTAATTGCTTTTAATAATTTTCTAAATTTTTAGATTGAAGTGTATTTAGTTTCTAAACATTAAAAAGCTGAAGATCGATCCAACAAGATCAACAAGTCAAGAGTTGATCTAACCATTAATGTACACTTGAGAGTAAGTTGTCCAATTTGAGAGAGAAGTAGTGGAATATATGAGAAATTATAAAGCGCCTACATTGTCTATGTCACATTTCATTAGAATTTACTCGTGAACAAATTAATGCCTACTTGAATCCTTTCTATCTCTCATATCTTTCTCATCTCAAAACACAAGTGAAGTAATGTCATTGAAAAGAATTTCTTCGGTGATTGGTTACCATATAAATTTGTACACGTCTTCTATTATTCATTACTTTAACGAATTGAAGCAACAAAATGATGAATATCCTATCATTACAAGTGAAGTAGTGACACTTTTTGGGCATCTATGGATGACAAGTTTCATGTGAAATAGTTTCCTTGTTTGATCTCGATTTGATGCAGTGTCCATTGTGACAACTAAAATAAGTATTGTGGAAGAAAAAAGGATAGACATGTAGAAGAGATCTACACATGGTCAAAAGGTACAACAAAGAGAAGATCGTCGTGGAGGAAGATCAATGGCAACATTGAATTATGAGTCCAATAACATCCAGACATGTGCATTGGACTTATTCATACCTCCTCCTTGTATTCCAAATCGTATACTAAGAGGATCATGTGTGAACACTGTCACTCAAGAAAATTTACTAATGAAGTAGTTTGTACATTTCGATACACTAATTTGGAACTTGAGACAATTGGTAGTTGGAAGCAATCTGAAAGAGAGTTCCTATTTCCCTTCTACACCACAAGATGCATCGTTGGCATATTACTTACCATCACCAACACTCACTGAACTATTAGTTGCTGATATGTGCATTTAAGGTATGCAATGGATTATGTACAACGTTCAAGATATAACGTCTCATATCTTTGAAGAACTAAAAAATCGTTTACACGTATTAGAGTGAAGTCTCGCAAGTCAAAGAGACAAATAAATTCTAAAAACATCATGACTTCAAATGAGTCTATGCCCCATCAATACTGAAGTTGTTTTCAAAAGAAAATCACAAGTAGATTGAAAAGCAAAAATAAATAAATGAAAATTATTAAAAGAGGTGGAAAAGGCTGATTATCCAAAATATTGTAAGGGTGATCAATTTATGAGTCATCCAGTAGAAAGATGTTTCGTTCTAGAAAAGATAATTATAAAGCTAGCCAAAGAAGAGAAACTTGATCTAGAATGGGATGAAATAACTTAGTCAAACCATGTGACAATAACAACTATACATACACTAAAGAACGCTCTAATTTGCATCATGATAAATGACTATGTCTAGTCCGATTTCAAACCTTTGAACCTATAATTGTTTGGTTTGAACATGAGGCCTCAAAACCTATAGTTGTTTTGTTTGGTTTGGAATTCATTAAAACAACATTGTTATGAATAATAAAGCGGAAAATAGATAACGTGAATTTAAATAAAATAAAAATAATGTTATGATCTAACCTAAGGACTACTAAAACAAGCATGAATGTAATTGTCCTAACTTTAATTTCATAGTCTTTTCACAATATGGTCATCCATAAAAAGGTGTCTTACCTTTATTTAAAAAATAAGAGTGACACGAGACTTGAGTATTTAAGAAATACCTAGTAAATAGCCTCACCATTTGGATCAAAAAAATACAATTACATGCAATATGGTGGGATCTATCATTTCATAAAAACATCATGGCATGGTCCTAGACTCCGCTTTACAAGATTGGATGTGTAGTACTTCTCTATATATGACGCACACACTCGCACATGGACCTATCAGGCATGCCCGTACACGTACCCTCTAGGTCTGCCTCATCAGGCTAGTGTATGCTCACACTACCTGGCTTCCTCATGACTTGTCATATCATAACAAGCCTACAAGATATGTATTCATAATACTTGTCATATCCTTCATCATGAACCTACCAAACTTCCTCATGACTTGTTTGCATGGAGTGAACATGTTAAATAGTTTACATGGTGTAAAATAGGGAAGTCTATGCATCATACATCATTGACATAACATGACAGAATTATTTATAACATGTCATAGCATAATTTATAACATGACATAGCATAACATCACATAACACAGGCTAAAAATCATAATCATCATAATCATGACACATCGAGGAATCACAAGGCATGCATCATTGAAACTCTTACCACCCTAAAAATTAAATTGCAATTAACTACAAATCACCTATAAAAAGCTTATTTTTGGATATTTTAGAAATTTAAAATATTTAAAATGATTATGGTCAATGTTAAAATTATTTCTAAACAGATTCATAATTATTGAAAATGTTTATATAAATAATTTTTATAATACAAACTTAATTTTGAGTAATTTAAAATATGTTTAAATTTTAATATAATAAAAATAATTTGACCAACTTTACAATCGAATCGCTTGTGACAGGTAAACAAGAATAAAGATAATAATAATAATAATAATAATAATAATAATAATAATAATAATAAACGTTAGCGATAAAAAAGAAAAAAAGCAGAAAAATAAAAGAATGAGGAGATACCAAAAGAAAAAGAACAAATGAACTGAAAAGCGAAAGGGAAATTTCCACAGAGAAGAACAGAGCAGATCAGCTATAATGAACACAATGCAGTGTTGGGGCTCTAATCTATTCCCAATTGATGCAAAAGGCATATGTTTCTTACAATTTCCTTCACCATAGACATATTCAACTGCGAGATTATGAGTTTTGATTCGTCCGTAAGCTTTGTTTTGGCCGTGTGACAGATGCAGATTGAATTATGGCTTTATCCTGTGCTTTTCCCACAATTCCTTCTTCCTTTTGCTTTCTTTGCTTGTTTCATTCCAACAAATCGAGCAATGGGTTTCATCAAGAGACCAAGATTTGCAAGGGATTTGGCGGAGTGACAGCCCCTTCGAGCTCTGGCGGAATTCGAGGCGGTGATGGGGATTTAATTGGTTCACGTTCGAGGCAAGCGGCTGGTTTTCTTATCACTCGCCAGAGCTCTTGGAATTGGAGATTGAATGCTGTTAGCATTGACTCGGCAACCAACTCCCGAGCTCGTATCTCCACTCTTCACGACAAAGGCCACAATGGCGCCGCCGCCACTCTTGAATTCCACGTTACTTGTTACCAGGTGATTCTCTAGGCATCTCGCCTGCCCTCTGTTTGGTTTAATGATCTCTCTGCTTATTTTACATTGATGCATAACAAAGGCTTTTGAGCTTTGTTGTGGTCTATCCTGTTTGATGACGCGGCCCTGCTTGAAAATATTGGAAGCATAAATGTGGGGAATTTGGTTCAACTTTTTTGTCTGGTTAATTTGTAACGCTGCCTGATTTTCATTTTCATTTTTGATTTTGATGCAGTGAGTTAGTTTAATAGTTTTGTTGAATTCCTCTAGTTCTTCAAATTTTGTTGTTAAATTCTTTATAAATAGAGGGCTAGTCTCCTCTATTGAACAATTCGAAATCCTTTGGGTTATATTTCTATGAGAGTTATCTCGTTTATTATTTAGGCTAAATCAGTTTCCTTTTCAGTATAGTGTTTAGCAACGAATGCTAGATGGTGATGGATACATCCTTTGATCTTTTTTTGTTTGGCCGTAGTTTTAGTTTTTGGAGATTGTTGGAGGATAAATTTCTGTTCATGACACTAATTTAGCCTTTAATTTAAAGAAACAATGCCGCTACATGTTATATGCAATCCAAGAACTTCTGATTAGTATACTGAATTCTGGGATAATTTTTGTCTAAACCATCGAAGGTATTTGATAGAAGGATGAAAACAAAAGGAAAGTGGATTTTCCTGCTTGTCCCCTCTTGGGACCTAGATTTTTTTAATATGTTTTTTTATTTATTTAATTATTGAGTAAACATCAATTTTTAAGCCATAATTTGACAATGTGAGTCAATTTTTATCATAAGCTTTCAATTGAATCAAATATTCAACAAAAGAGGAAGAACACAGCCTAAAGACCTTAGGGATGAGGAATCCCTAAGGCTAAAACGGAGGATCAAAAAAAATAAAAGGCCTCCTATCTTGATTGTCGAGCATTCACCGTGTATTACAAAAAGATATGTGTAAAACACTTCAATTAGAGGCAATGAACTGTACACTTTAAAAAGAAAAATTGTTTGAGGAAGATTTATCCGAAAATAATCTGCTGTTTCTTTCTTTCCACAAAAGGCCAAAGAATAGCTCTGCAAGCATTCAACCACGAAATCTTAGCTCTCTCTTTAAATCACCAGTCGGAGAGAAGCTCACAAAGGCTATATTTCTAGGGGAACACCAAGCCGAATTGAAAGATTCAGGATGAAACACCATCCCTTGTAAGCAGAAGGGAGGTGGCTACTGGATTCAGAACGTTAGTTGCAAAGGAGGCAAATATTTGGGGAAAAAGTATTTTTGTTAATTCTTTTAATTAGAGCCCATTTTATTAATAATTGTAATCTAGAAAAGGGATGTAATATCCATAATGTTTAAAAAAGACCTTTATTTATAATGATGGAGGTATGACTATAGGAAGTAAAAATATTAAACAGTTTACACCAAGATATAGCTTGGTAAACAATATTGTTGAAGAGCTTTGCATAAGTATGTGTCTTTTCCGCGAATACTCTTTGATTTCCTTCTTTCCATAGATTCCAAAAGAAAGGCATGATGAGGTTTTTCCATAATTGGACTTTTGCATTTTGGAAGGGATAGGATGTTAAAGCCGTGTCCAATAGATCTTTTGCCTCTCTAGGAAATGTGAGATGCCATCCAAAGATATTTAGAATTGTTGTCCAGAAATCTGAGCATATGTGCATTGCATAAATAAGTGACTTTGTGATTCATTTTTTTTTCTTACATTGACACCAATTT